GCCTCCCCAGACCATCACTGACCCACCACCAAAACGGTCATGCTGAACGATCTTACAGACAGCATAACATTCTCCATGGCCTCTCCAGACCCTTTAACGTCTGTCACATGTGCTCAGGGTGAACCTGCTCTCATCTGTGAAACGGACAAGGTGCCAGTGGTGGACCTGCCAATTCTAATGTTCAATGGCAAATGCCAATCAAGCTGTATGGTGCCGGGCAGTGAGCACAGGGCCCAATAAAAGGACGTCAGGCCCTCAGGCCACCCTCATGAAGTCTGTTTCTGATTGTTTGGTCAGAGACATTCACATCAGTGGCCTGCAGGAGGTCATTTTGTAGGGCTCTGGAAGAGCTCATCCTGTTCATGCACAAAGGAGCAGATACCGATCCTGCTGATGTGTTAAAGACCTTCTATGGCCCTGTCCTGCTCTCCTAGAGTAAATGCCTGTGTCCTGGAATCTCCTCCATGCTCTTGAGACTGTGCTGGGAGACACAGCAAACCTTCTGGCAATGGTACGTATTGATGTGCCATCCTGGAAGAGTTGGACCGCATGTGAAACCTCTGTAGGGTCCAGGTATCGCCTCATGCTATCAATAGTGACACTGACCCTAGCCAAATGGAAAACTAGTGAAAAACAGTCAGAAAAGATGAGTAGGGAAAAATATCAGTGGCCTCCATTTCTGATTTGGGGATCATGTTATTGTTGCCCATCTAGTGCACCTGTTGTTAATTTCATTAACACCAAAGCAGCTGAAACTGATTTACAACCCCCTCTGCTACTTAACTGACCAGATTAATATTCCAGGAGTTTAATTGACTTGATGCTATACTCTGATTAAAAAGTGTTACTTTAATTTTTTTGTGCAGTATATATACTATAGTTTGTAGGCGCTATATCTTTCACACAAACCAATTAATATACACTTATTGGGATTTTTTTTACCAAAGACATATAGCAGAATACATTTTGGCCTAAATTTATGAAAATTTTTTTTTCATTGGCTAAAAAAAGCTGAAAATATTGTTATTTTTTTTCAAAATGTTTGGCCTTTTTCATTTATATATAAAAAAAGAAAAAAAAATCAGTGGTGATCACATAGCACCAAAAGAAAGCTCTATTTGTGTGAAAAAAAATTCTATAAATTTCTTTGAGTACAGCATTGCATGACCGTGCAATTATCAGTTATCAGTGCTGAATAGCAAAACAAATGCTCTGGTCATGAAGGGGGTAAAATCTTCCAGAGGTCAAATGGTTAATACTGTTTGGACACTATTGGTTGTTTCAGAATTATCACAGATTTATGTTATTTTGGATACTGTTTTTGGAGTTTATCAGGGACTTATCAACACCTGTGTGTTGAAAGGCAATTTCATACGTTTGAACGCTTGATGTAATTTGCACACCCAGGTGGATAGCACTCATTATTATAGCATTTGCTAAATGATTAACAATTTTGACACATTGGGGTTGATCAGCTTCCAGGTTGTTTTTGTCAAAGCTTAATTGAACAAGCTGAAGTTAGAAGCTGATTGGCTACCATTCACAGCTGCACTAGATTTTTCATTCTCCAGTTATAGTAAATCAACCCCTATGTATGTATTATTTACATATTTAATTTTAGCACAACATTTTCCAAGTATGCAGTATATTACATTTGTATTTTTTGTTTTATCTACATTTTTCACAGTCTCCATACTGACAGCAATGTGCATTTGTCGTACTTTTTTTATTACTATATTATGTAAGCATCTAAAATTGCTAAAAGCACTGGGATAGATCCAAAAAACTGTAAGAAGATCACATTTTTATTTAGGCATGCCATGGCTTAATTGGTGTTCATTCAGACCTTTCTAATACATTCCACATATATTCACCCTAGTCTGTGAGAATGTGTTCAAGGACTTCACAGTCAAATAATGAATTGAGTGAGGATGGAGAAATAAGGATTTGCTTGTACATGCAGCATTGATGTGTGATAATATGTGCATATACATTATTAAATGTGGCCCTCTGTGTGGCAGCAGCTTACAAAGTAAGAACGACCATTTCATGGGGGGGGGAGAGATCTGGACAGGATTTCCAGTTTCCCACTAGAAAGAGGTTTTGATGTGTAGTTGCAGTCTGAGAGCCTAGGCTTTATGTGTGATGTATTATGCATTATTGCTGTAAACAAGATGCCCAACTTTTGTAATGCTGGAAATACCAAAATGTTTTTTTGAAGTTTAATAAATATATGTTAAATCTTTATTTTACTCTCTTTATTGTGCTTTTTTATTTATTGCAGGTACTAATATTGTGCTGCCAATTTATGAAATGCTTTACATATACAGTCATGGCCAACAATATTGGCACCCTTGCATTTCTGTCAGATAATACACCACTTCGCCCCAGAAAATTGTTGCAATAACAAATGTTTAGATCTTCTCATGTTTGTTTCTATTGGTATGACACAAAAAAGTAGAGAAACAAAAAGTCAAATCTGACACATTCTACACAAAACTCCAAAAATGGACTGGACAAAATTATTGGCACCTTCTCAAAATTGTTAATAATAATTGCATTCCAAGTTTGTGATGCTCCTGTAATTTGTAATTAAACTGACCTGTATCAATTAACAGGTGCTGACAATATAAAGATCACACCGGCAACCAGTTAAAATTGTGAAAAAGTGACTCAACCTTCCTGTTGCGTGTTTCTATGTGCCACATGGAGCATGGAGAAGAGAAAGAGCAGCAAAGAATTGTCTGAGGATTTGCGAACAAAAATTGTGGAATACTGTATATCCCTTGATATCCAACATCTGTTCATCAATAAGAAAAAGAATTTACTGTAACTTTATGTATGAAAAAGTGAGTGTTACCTCCTTGCACACTCAGCTGATATTCCCTTAACCACTTTCCACTTGGCCTATAGTAAAATGACGGCCGGGCGAGCCTCTCGTCCCTCCAAATAGGGCGTCATATGATGTCCTTCCCGGATTGCGCTTTGCATTTGCCCGCAGGTGAGATCTGTCACTGGCTGTGTACCTCAGATACGGCCGATGACAGATCTGTGTATCGGCCCTGTTGCCAGTACCATGTGACCTGCTGTGACCAATCACAGCAGGTCACATGACAGTTGTATCCAATGGATGGCTTCCTTTCATGCCATCCATTGTATACAAGTGTGTCTAGCTGAGAATGGTCACAGTGATCACATGCAAAGGCTGGACCAATCACAGCCCATCTGTGTCACGTGATTATCCGTGGCCAATCACAGTTAATCACAAGAAAAAAAATTCTTGCTTATAGCAAGAAAATCATAGAAAATCATAATGATCACTTCCCCAAAGTAGTACGATGTTGGTACTACTATGGTAACATTATACTACTTTGGTCATAGTGTAATATTAAAAAAAAATCTTAAAAAAAGAAAAATTTAATAAAAAAAAAATAAAAAAGTAAAAAAATGTTTTTAAAAATTATAATTTTTTTTTTGCGTTCTGTTACAAGTCAGTGTCCCTGATCAGTGCCAAAACAATGATGCGATGACGCTGTACTGCACTGGTGACAGTATGTAAAAAAAAAAACAGTGAAAATAAATTTAAAATTTTTTCATTTTCCAAAAAACTATGACAAAAAAATTACAAGTTCAAAAAAACTCGCCATGCCTCTTATGAAATACGTCGGACTGTCTACTTTGCAAAAAGGGGTCATTTGGGGGATATCTGTACTGTTCTGACATTTCTGGCCTCAAGAAATTAGATTGGTCGTCAGTACTTCAGGACTGATCAATTTTCAGATACATACCATAGTTTGCGAACTCTATAACTTTCCTACAGACTAAATAATAAATACTGATTTGGGTTATTTTCATGAAATAAATGTAGCAAAATACATCTTAGTCTATATTTATGAAGAACAATTATGTATTTGCAAAACTTTTATAACAGAAACAAAGAAAAATGTGGGGTTTTTTTAACATTTTCGGGCTTTTTTGTTAATTTAGCAAAATATAAAAACCCCAGTGCTGATTAAATATCAACAAAAGAAAGCTCTAGTTGTGTGAACAAAATTTATAACATTTTAGTTTGGGTACAGTGTTGCATGACTGCGCAATTGTCATTCAAACTGCGACAGCGCTGAAAGCTGAAAATTGGCCTGGGCAGGAAGGGGGTAAAAGTGCCCAGTATTGAAGTGGTTAACCCAGTTTTACTAAAATTCATCTTGTTTAACTTGTCAAATCACTGCAATTTCCATTAATGTCAAAGGAGTTAATTAGGTTAAAGTTAAATTCCAGTTGAAACCTAGCCTTAAAAATGCCCCCTCACTTCTCCTAACACCTATGCTGATGAACCTATGCAAAAAAAGATGTATATACTTATTTTCAGGCTGCTCTGATCCGGTCAAGTGATCTGGCTTCCATGTGTCAGCCAGCAGTGGCTGCATGGGAAAAGAGAGAGTGTTCAACAAAGTATGGGTCATAGGAGCATATGGTTGACTTCACTGCTCCAGACATTCCCTCCAGCCTTTGTCGAGAGCACTCTTCTTTCCTCTGCAGTCACCACTGGCTGACACAGGGGATCACATGATTGGACCAGAGCGGGCTGAAAATAGGTAAGTATATTCATCTTTTTTACATAGGTAAGTCAACATAGGTGTTGGGAGTGGGGAGGGAGCATTTTTTTAAAACTAATCCGTTGTAAGCTGGAATTCCACTTTAAAGTGTTGCTAAACCCACAAACAGTAAAATCAGTCTGTATATGCAGTAAAGCATGCTTGTTATACACACTGCGGAACCTAGGGGGTTAATTCTCTGCATTGTGTAAAAAGGATGTTTGCTCCTGTCTTCTCTGATCCTCTCCTTCTTTCACACTCCCCAATCCATCAGCTGATTGAACAGATCCTTTGGGGCAAGCTGCACATTCCCAGTTTGGCGTATATTGCTAGAAAGTTTTTTTTTTCTTGGGAGAGAGTGCATGTGATTGTCACAGGGCCAATCAGCACTGTCCAGTCAGAGGGTCAGGGGTCTTGCAGCCTCATAGGATAATCAGGAATGAATGCAAACTCCTCCTACAAGCATTAACCAGTGCTCTGCTGGACACTGATAGAAGTCACATGACTGCTATGCAATGCTGATGAGAAAAGGTATTTAGCAGTTTTATATTTACTAAAATAATTGCATTTCCATGTTCGGTGTACTGTGGGAGACCAGATATAGTGAATGCAGGGTCTGGGGTTTAGTAACACTCTAAACTGAGCCTGCAATTTGTTAATACCAATTGCAGAACAGCACTGTTTGCTCCAAAGAGGTAATTAAAAGCATCTTTTGAAGAGATCTGAAAGGGGGGGGGGGGTATTAGTTTTGTTTTTTCCCTCTTCCTGTTTTTGCTAGGTTTGGTAGGTCACTTACAAGTAACCATGTCCTTAGTTGATGTGTTGATGACAATACTCCTACAATGTTTAATAGCTGTACTTTTGTTAGGACCATCCACACTCTTCCCCCCAAAAAATATAAAAGAGTAAAAATCAGAGCTAGGTTTACCCTTAACAAAATAGAAAAAATAAGCTACGGACAGCTTTGGTCGTAAACAGGAGGGGGCAGGTGATGTGTTTCTAGGGTTACCTCTTTTTCAAACCTGCCCCTTCAAACTTGGGAAGGTTTCAAAAGATACGCCCTCCTGTTCACGTACTCTGACAAGCAGTTTTCCATAACAGCATGAAAAGCTGCTTTATGCCCCGTACACACGATAAGAAAATTGTCCGAAAGATTTTGTGGAACTGATCTAATGATTTTCTCTTCGTTGATGAGCAGGAGTTTTAACTAATAACGACATTGTGAAGAAAAAATCCGGTTGAACAACAGTGAAAAATGTCGTTTCGCATATGAACGACCAATGTTCTATGAGGTGGTATGATGGTCGTATGAAAAAAATCTATCAAGCGCTATCACGCATGAGCGGAAACAGAAGATGACCAAGATGTTTATGTCCAAGGAATCTTCGTAAACACGAACGGAAAATCCAAATGTAGATTGGCCTAATGAGATAATGAAACCAGAATTCTGCGTATTATATTTTATGTATCACTATTTATGTATATAGGTAATGTAATAAACGACATTATACTCATTGCTGGTAATTATTGTGTATATCGCTTATTCTGGCCGGAAGGGCGTGGCTACAAGGTCACACGCACACTGCATCACTTCTACTTGTACGGAAGACATCAACACTACGTATTGCCTGCCGAACAATTTTTTTAGATTGGTTAATGTGGGCCACGATTTTGGCCAACGAACGAGCGGCTCTCAGTCGTCGGATAACTGATTGGTCGATTTTCTAATCGTGTATTCCAACCTTTAGATTTTGATTCATCCATTGAGCGATGGGATTAATGAGTTTACACACTGTGCTCTCTGCCTGGACTGCGCTGCCTGGGTTTCATGTTGACAATTGGCTGCTGTGATGGAACTGCATTTGTTTTTATCCAATAAAAATAAACAGCTTTTTTGATTGGACTCCTAACTGCTTTTATCTTCTCTATGCTAACCACGACCAGCCCAAGTCTATTAACACCTTCCCACCCGGCAGTAGTGTATTTAGGTTTTGTGCTGTCCCTAGGCAACACAAAAATAGTCTGCACTCACGGACACCGAACAACCGTCCCCCCCTTCTCCCTCCTGCGGAGAGAGAAAGCCTGACATTGACCAACAACACCCCTGCCCCCCACCTGAAAGAGCCTTCCACTACCCCCCCAAGTGATAGAGAGAAAGACACTCATCTTCACAGCTCCGGACATCCCCAGGAACGAGAGTCAGGCTCTACATACACCATCAAGCAGTCAGCAGCCTCTCTCTCGGATCGCACTTGGTTCCCATGGTGCGCGTATCCCTTCTTGCTTTGTTTGCCTTGTGGTAAATACGCCCCTGCCGCGCAGCATATAACAGATTAACAGCCGAGCAGGACACTCGCCATTGTGACTGGGCTTCATATGACGTCCTGTCAAAACAAGGCGCTCACGTGGCTGCGGGGCAACGCAGTGGCACGATCTTTCACTGGCTGTGTCCCATGACATATCACTACACCGGCCCGTTGCCAGTGTCATGTGACCGCTGTGACCAATCACAGCAGATCACATGTCAATTGTATACAATCAATGGCTTCCTTTCATGCCAGCCATTGTATACAATTATGTTGTTAGCTGTGACTGGTCAAGGCAGTTGCATGATACAGACAGGGCCAATCACAGCCCATCTGTATCATGTGATCAGCTTTGCCCAATCACAGCTAATCACAACAAAAGACTGAATGAATCAGTTTCATTCAGTAACAATGATTGCAAATATCAATGAAATACATTAGTATTAACAATCATAATGTGTTAAAAAAAAAAGCAAATCCTGATCACTTGCCCAGAGTAGTTCAATGTTACTATGGTAACATTGTATTGCTTTGGTCACAGTGTGCTGAGAAATAAAATAGTAAAAAAAAGAAAAAATGTAATAAAAAAAATAATAGAAACATTTGAAAAAATACAAATTCAATTATTATTATTATTTTTGCCAAAAAAATGGAGCAGAATACATTTTGACCTAAATTTATGAAGAAATGTTATTTATTTGCAACATTTTATAACAGAAATGAAGAAAAGTGCATTTTTTTTTTCAAAAGCTTCAGGTGTTTTTGTTTTATTTAGCAAAAAATAAAAAAAACTCAGTGGTTATTAAATACCACCAAAAGAAAGCTGTCATTCAAAGTGCGACAGCGCTGAAAGTTGAAAATTGGCCTGGGCACGAAGGGGGTATAAGTGCCAGTATTGAAGTTGTTAAAGGAGTCTGCAGGACTTGACCCAGAGCTTCCAAGAGTTTCCTGCTGCTGACAGACAGTAGTTACCCCTCTCATTGGTGGTTTTTACCATTTATATCTGTGCGCTTGTAGTTTTTTGCATATATATTGTTCTTCTGAGGAGAAGTTAACCCTGGTTCATGGGATTCCCTAAGAAGGTACAAGGTTCTAGTCCTACCTACTTCCTCGAAAGACTGCTGTTAAGTCACTGTGGAAGAGAACAATTTTTATCCTTTGTAGTAGAAAACTATTCTGTATTTGTAGTTTTGCAAATAGGTAATGAACCGCTTTACCGCCGCCCTATAGCAGAAATACTGCTACAGGGCAGCAGGAGTGCGCAAAATCACGTGTATATATACATGATTTTGCATTTTCCAGGTAGGGGGTGTGCCCCGCCATTTGCTGGTTTGGCTGTCAATCACCGTGTCCCTGTCCATGATTACTCACTGGCACCTGGTGATTGCTGAGTAATACCAACTGGGGGAGAGAACAGTATGTAAACAATACAGATTTCTTCCAAAAGCTCCTGCACACTGCTTTGCATGGCTGTGCATAGCAGAGCCATACAGAGCAGTGTGCTTAAATTGGAAAGCATTGACACAGTCCCTAGTAAAAACACACCCAGCACACAGTTAACCCTTTGATCGCCCCAGATGTTAACCCCTTCCTGCCCAGTGCCATTAGTACAGTGTCAATGCTTTTTATTAGCAATGATCACTGTATTAGTGTCACTGGGGATGTCAGTGACACCAAGTCAGTTCCCCCCAGTGTCAGAATGCCCACTGCAGTCCCACAGTACCACTATAAGTCGCTGATCGCCGCCATTACTAGTAAAAAAAACCAAAACTTTCACATAAACCAATTAATTTACACGTATTGGGATTTTCTTTTAGCAAAGACATGTAGCAGAATACATTTTGGCCTAAATTTATGATGAAATTAGATTTTTAAAAAAATTTTATTGGACATGTTTAATAGCAAAAAGTCAAAAATATTGTTTTTTTTCTCAAAATTGTAGCTTTTTTTGTTTATAGCACAAAAAATAAAAACCGCACAGGTGATCAAATACCACCGAAAGAAAGCTCTATGTGTGCGAAAAAAAAGACATAAATTTCATTTGAGTGCAGCATTGCATGATTGCGCAATTGTCAATTAAAGTGATGCAGCGCCGTAACGCAAAATGGCCTGGTCAGGAAGGGGGGTAAATCCTCCAGAGGACAAGTGGTTAAACAGACACATAACAAAACACACTCAAAAGGTGTTCATTGCTTTAAGATTATTTTTTTATTTACCTTAAAGCAGAACTTCACTCTCTCAGACAACATTGGCTATTTGTCATCCATATGCTGCTAGCATTAGTAAATAGATATGAAGGTACATGCTATTTACTTGAGTTAAACTTTTTTTGTTTACATTTCTTCATTTACTTCCTGGTTTCCATGCCTAGGCAAATGATGTCATACATCCCAGGAGTCTTCAGGAGGGGAGGAGGGGCTTTCTCAGATAAGCACACCTTCCTGCCTACATGTATGAGATAAGGGCAGATGGATTCCTTTAAGTAAATATTAAATGAATCATTTGCCTTTAGTCAAGATGGCCACATTCAGAAACACTAGGACTAGGGGAATGTTTACAAAGTGATTTATTTGAAAATAAAGCATGGAGACATGGATGGGGGAGGTTGCGATGAATACTAAAAATTAATTAACTAGGGTTTTTGGTTTGTGGAACTCAGCTTAAGTGTAGTTCTGCTTTAAGTTTAGAACTGAAAGTGTTACTAAAACCACAACAGTAAATTCAGTCTGTATATGCAGTAAACAATGCTTGTTGTACTCACTGTGGGACCTAAGGGGTTAGTCCTCTGCATTGTGTAAAAAGGCTGTTTGATCCTGACTTCTGTAATCCTCCCCTTCTTCCAGTGTCTCCTGATAAGACATATTGCGTGGAGACATTTTGCACATGCTCAGTTTGGTGTGTATTGCTACAGAGGTTTTTTTTTTTTTCTTGTGAGAGTGCATGTGATCAACACAGGGCCAATCAGCGCTGTCCAGACAGAGGATCAGGGGTTCTGCATCCTCCTAGAGCAAAATAAAAACTCCTTCTACAAGCTTTAATATGTGCTCAGCTGAACACTGATAGAAATCACAAGACTGCTCTAACTGCTGATGAGAAAAGGTATTTAGCAGTTTATATTTACTAAAATAAGTCCACTTCCATGTTCTGTGTACTTTGGGAGACCAAATATAGTAGATGCAGGGTCCTGGGTTTAGTACCACTTTAATTTTAAGTCTATTTGGAAATGCGTGTAGCAATGTGTGTAGGTTCTGGGGCAGGACAGCAAGTGGTTAAATAGCACATGTATTGTACCCTGTATTTTCTGCCCTGTATTTGAAACTTACAAACAAGGCTGTATTATGTATTTATATAAATATGTGCTTCCATGTAATTCTTTTTCATGTAACTTCAGTACAACTTTAAAATAATACAGTTTTCTTCCTTATGGACATGTTCTATGTGGAGTAGGCAGCTTTTTGTGATCATAACTGGGCCAGTACCTAGCTACAGAGCAGTCACCTGACCCAAAAACCTTAATGGGTGTTTAATGACTAACCTCTAGTCCTGTCCACAATAGTGTCTCCACAATCAATTGTCTTTGGTTCAGAGAGACTTAAGCTGGCCATAGATGGATTAAATCTCAGTTGGTTCAGCAGGGACCCGCTGAGATTCAATCTATTTTTGGGCAGGCTGTTTGTACCCAAGTCAATCCATCAATCAACTTTGGTACAACCGGCTGGTGGATTTTTAGTATGCGATTACTGCTTGCGGCTATAGCTGCTAGTAGTAATTATAGTGTTCTGCAGGTGGGGAAAGGTACCTGCGTCCCTCGCTGGCAGAACACAAGAGTGCTGCAGGAGGCATTCCCTGTGATTTACATCTCAGAGAATTCTGAATTGCCCCCCCCCCCCCCCAGAAAAAGACAGTAAGACTGGAGATTTAGGAAAAAAAGTTCTTCTATGCTACAGGTCCTGAGCCCTTCTGAATGAACTGCAGGAGCCATTCAGATCACCTGGGAGCCACTGGAACCAGGAGCAGTAGCCAAACTAAACTGCCTACAGTTGTGTGCGCCCCTGAACCAGGGTCATCTTTAATATTGATTGAACCCTGGGCAAACATGTTCTTTGGAGCCATCCCCCCATGCAATTTTGCTCTCCACCTGCTCTGGGACATACAGTAAATTGCAGCTTGACTCAAACTAAGTTTAAGGCAGCAGATCAGGCAGCAATTGCGATTGGCTATTGTCACCCCATACTGGCGAGGAACATACAAAACCAGGGCTGTCTCTCAACTTGAGACCAAGTATATATATGAATTAGATACATTCCATCCAGTTGGGCTTAATATCGAACTAGATGTGAATTGCTTTATTGATAATAGCTGAATTCCTTCTATGGTATAGTGCGTTTTTATATTTCTTTTTTATTTATTATACTACTTAATTTTTATGTTACCTTTTTTTGATCCTTTATTATGTGATTTTGATAAACGTATGGTGAATCTTGTCTATGTAAGATTAACCTCTTGCCGACCGCGCATAGCCGAATGACGGCTTCACCGCGGCCGGCCAGTTCTGGGTGGACGTCATATGACGTCCTCCCAGAACGCGCTCTCCTGCGCGCCCCAGGGGGCGCGCACCCGGCGATCTCCGTGATCGCTGTGTCCTGATCACGTGATGTGGTAAAAGGCCAATCACAGCGGCCTTTTACCACCTGATCAGCGGTGTCCAATGACACGCTGATCAGAGGGAAATGCAAGTGCCGGTTCTCGGCTGCACTTTCCTCACACTGTCAGATCGTGAGGAAAGTACTGCCGAGAACCGGCAGTTGTCAGAGCGGGGATCGGCACCGATCATCAGGGCACTGATGATCAGTGCCCTGATGATCGGTGCCCAGCAGTGCCAACCGCAAGTTCCGCCCAGCAGTGCACCCACTAGCTCCGCCCACCCGTGCCCAGCAGTGCACCCACCTGTGCCCAGCAGTGCACCCACCTGTGCCACTCTGCAGTGCCACCTACCTGTGCCCAGAAGTGCCACCTACATGTGCCCAACAGTGCCACCCACCTGTGCCCACCCACCTGTGCCCACCAGTGCCACCCACCTGTGCCCACCCACCAGTGCTGCCCACCAGTGCCACCCACCAGTGCAGCCCAGCAGTGCTGCCAGTCAGTGCCACCAGTCAGTGCCCAGGAGTTGTGCCAGTCAGTGCCGCCAGTCAGTGCCCAGCAGTGATGCCAGTCAGTGCCGTCTATCAGTACCCATCATCAGTGTCACCTATCAGTGCCGCCTATTAGTGCTGCATATTAGTGCCGCCTATCCGTGACACCTCATTAGTGCTGTCTATCAGTGCCGCCTATCCGTGACACCTCATTAGTACTGCCTATCAGTGCCCTTTAGTGCTGCCTATCAGTGCCCATCAGTGCCGCCTATCAGTGCCCATCAGTGCTGCCTCATCAACGCACATCAGTGAAGGAGAAAAAATTGCCTGTTTGAAAAATTTTATAATACAAACAAAGAAATTTTTTTTTTTTTTCCAATTTTTTGCACTTTTTTATTTATAGCGATAGCGGTATTTATAGTAAATACCACCAAAAGAAAGCTCTATTTGTGAGGAAAAAATGATCAAAATTTCATATGGGTACAATGTTGCATGACCGCGCAATTGTCAATCAAAATGGGGCAGCGCTGAAAATTGGCCTGGTAAGGAAGGGGGTATAAGTGCCCGGTAGGCAAGTGGTTAAAATTAAAATTAAATTTGATACTTGTTGATGGAACTCACACCCCAGTATATATTAGGAGGTGTGAAAAAGTTTTCATTCATATATAATTTTATATTATTGATTATGTATAAATATAGTTTATCATGATCATGTTTTATTTTAAAGATTGATCACCCCACCTTTAGTACACACAATATTGAAGGATGTTGATCATGTTTGCCAATTTTACCAGGTGGCCATTTTCCCGTTTTCATGCGTTTTTCTCATGCAATTTTTCATGCATTTTTTTCATGCGTTTTTGAATAAATATGTTTTATAATTTTAGTAAGAAAAATCCTTTTTTATATATATTTTATTTAAAGGATTTTTCATATATAATTTTCACTAATAAACGGCCTGCATATATTTTTAATACGAAATTCGGATTTTAATTGATATTACGTTTATTTTATGTTTAGTAGTGGATTGACTGCGGACATTTGTGGCATATGTTTTGATGCGGATGATACCTGCATTTTTGAAAATACCCTTGTTTATGGCTGTGCATATAAAGTTGCTCAATTCCCCTCTCTTGAGCAACAAAAACAGGGATTATGTCCAGACATATCGTAGATTAATCACGTTTACAGCATTATATGCTGTAGCTTGATATACCCGATTTCGGGTGAACATTTCAATATACTGCAGGAGATTTGCCATTGTCTGTCATTATAATGTTGATTGCAATTTGCCCCTGGTAAAATGGCACCGCACATGTGCACTTCACAATCGCAGACATGCGGGCTACGGCAAAATGGCCGCCGTAATGCACATGGGCCAGATACTATATAAATTAAACGGCGCTGCTGTCATGATGGTCCTTGCTCTACCTCAGAAGAAGTGCGTGCGCACGAAACGCGTCAGAGGGAGCCTGTGGACGTCATTGACACTACGCCGCTGGTGCCATGTGGAGGTCCGGCGGCCACCTTTAATTTTAAGAGGGTCAGTGGGTCACTTTCACTTGCCACCTGATTACATGTTTTTTACTTGGTTTTTTTAAATAAATTGAAGTAATATACTACACTATGAGTATCTCTCTGTGTCCTCTGTGAGGGGTCTCTCTCCGAATTTCACAGCCACAGAGTGATTTCAATCCCAGCCCTGGTTCCATTGAAGAGGAATATCTTATCCTGGGAGCTTCCTGGCCTGCAGGATTTCGCTTTTCCACAAGAGGGCGTTATCATCATCCATTTCAGCACTTTCTGACCAGAGGGAGAGAGGGGAATCTCCAGGATTTCTTACACACATGCGTACTTTAAATGCGCTTCTGCCACAGAGTGATTTCAATCCCAGCCCTGGTTCCATTGAAGAGGAATATCCTATCCTGGGAGCTTCCTGGCCTGCAGGATTTCGCTTTTCCACAAGAGGGCGTTATCATCATCCATTTCAGCACATATCCATTTTCTGACCAGAGGGAGAGAGGGGAATCTCCAGGATTTCTTACACACATGCGTACTTTAAATGCGCTTCTGGTTAGTTTGCATTCTTTCCATTGACACTGGGAATTAATGAGCACCTTTTCAGGACTATTATTGTGTTGATTTGCATGATTTGATCATTTTACAACGCTGCATTTTATATGTATATGTTTTATTGAGGATTTTTATATGCGTTTATCCTGGATGTTCAGCTGCTGTTTCTTTGAGAGCGCTCACTGTGTGTCTTTTGCGATCGGCTGCCAGAGGTTACAGCATACCATTACCACTCCCTGACTGATTGCTAGAGGTTACAACACATAATTTCTGCTTGTTGATTGGTTGCTAAAGGTTACTGCACATCATTACTGCTCACTGGTTGCTAGAGGTTACCTCATATCCTTACCACTCACTGATTGGTTGCTGGAGGTTACTGCGCAATATTACTGCTCACTGATTGGTTGCTAGAGGTTACTGCACAACATTACCACCCACCCATCACTTTGCTCCAAAACCTCAGCCAGTTCTCCATAGCCCTGCCCACAACCCCCCTGTACTCTTCATAGCCTCACCCACAACCCCCCTGTACTCTTCATAGCCCCTCTCACAATGCCCCCTCTATTATCAATAGTCCTTTACAAAGCTCTCTCTCCATAGCTTCACCCCCAAATGCCACTCAGCTCTCCATAGCCCCACCCCCAAGTGCCACTCACTTCTCCATTGCCCCACCCCCCAAGTGCCACTCACCTCTCCATAGGGATACCACCCAAAACCCTCTAATTCCAATAACCCCACCTACAGCCCCCCCTCCGATCACCAGGGCCCCTCCAGCCACTCTTTGGGCTTGGTGGAATCTCATAGATGAAGCTGTCAGTGCAGACATTCTGTAATACTCCCGTTTTCCCTCACTCCATACCGGCCACCTGTCCTTGATTACATGGCCAGTGTTGTGCTCCATCCTGGTACAGACCTGAAATAGATAACGCTGATCTTCCTGGACCCAAAAGAGGAACCAATCCACCACCTGAGCAACCTCAGACAGCTTGGCACAGTGCTCCCGCCTCCCTATCTATTCCATACCAAG